CCAGACGAACAGACGGACAGACGTACAGACGTATTTGGATTTTGATCGTGATGCTGATCAAGAATATATATACTTTATGGGGCCTGAGGTGACTCCTTCACTACGTTGCAAACTTCTGACTGAAATTATAATACCCTTTTGCTCTGCAAGGGTATAAAAATCAAATTTTACAGGAGAAGCTTTTTCTTTATTTTTGTATTTCGGTATTTTTGTGCGATTGCAGTGTTTCCATGCAATTGAAAAAAATTTGTATGGACATACGATAATTTCGCGCGCACATTGTAACATACGATAAAATTGAAACTTAATTTTTATCGGAACTTTAGGGCTTTCAGTTATAATAATGCACAGGGTAGTGAGACATTAAGTGCCTAACAATTTTGCATTAAAATCTCAATTTCGAAAAAGAGCGACATACGATACTTTCGCGGAAATGCGTCGATATGCTCGAGCGATTTTTGTCCGGCAAAAATGGTGGTTAAGGAGTCCGTGACAAAAATAACAAAGAAAGGTCCTACGGGAATAAAACTCCCCGGCCGGGACCAACAAACTGCGCCGTCCTTAGCTCCTTCCCAAAAAAACTAACCACTAACATCCATCCTAATAAGCTATCAGAATACAAGAGGTTTGCGTAGCAAGCTAACCAAATTGTATACTGATAGCTTTTCGTTTGCATCCCAAGTTATTGTGTTTACAGAAACCTGGTTAAAGCCGGAGATCTTTAGCTCCGAAGTTTTTTCCGGTAAGTACACAATATATAGGCATGACCGTCCCTCTAGACGGGGAGGGGGCGTCCTTATTGCAGTGGACGCTAACCTCACGTCAGAAGAGGTTTTGACAGATCCTTTGAATTTTGATTTAGAATTTTTATGCGTAAAACTGTCTTTCGCTGGCAGGTTAATTTTTATTACCTGCTCTTACATACCTCCTTCGTCCGATCTTGAGGACTATTTTAGGCAACTATCAGCTGTAAAGTCAATTTCGAGTTCTTTGTCCGATATGGATCAGTTAGTAGTTCTAGGTGATTTTAATATACCTGGAACTTCGTGGTCCTCGGATGATAATTCCAATGCTTTACAACCTATAGGCCGCAATGAATTCATTGACGGTCTACTTGACATACCTCTGTGTCAGGTAAACCATGTTCGAAATTCATTAGATCGTTTACTTGATTTGTGCCTTGTCTCAAATCCTGAAAATGTTTTTCTTTCTAGAGCAACACCACTTATCTGCCTGAAGATTCCTATCACCCTACTTTCAAGGTGACTATCGACACTGGTATAACAGTTAAAAATAATGCTATAAAGGCAGCCAAGCGAACTCATTGTTTTCGCAGGGCTAACTTTCTGAGACTTAATCAACTTATATCTGGCAATGACTGGTCCGATCTATACTCCGGCCATAATACGGAAGAAGCCATTACAATTTTTTATTCGGCAATCAAATCGTTTTTTAGCTCGTGTGTTCCGCTATATATCCCATCAATATCCAATAAACCACCTTGGTTTAGCAAGGAGTTGTCACACCTTAGGAATTTAAAGTCCAGACTTTATAAAAAATATAAGGTTTCAGGTTGTCAGTCTGTTTTTGGAAAATACATAAGAGCTCGGTCAAACTTTACCGTGCTTAACGCTCAATGTAACAAAAATTATTTTATGTCCTAGGACCCCTAAAATTGGCATTTTTCGTGCCTGTATTCCGTGCGGTAAATCGCTGATTGCAGCTGTTTTTCAGGGATGCATGCGTAAGAAACTTTACCAAACCATAACCCGTGCGTAATCGGTTTTACAGGCAGTTTTGCGCGAGATTTGAATGAAAAGGCAAAAAAAAAGCTAGAGAGTAAAGCAGCGGTGCTTTTTGTAGATGCTCTGTGCTTATGGGTAGTGCGCGAATAAGCACCGTGCATATGGGCTTCGATTTGCATGCGAAACAAAAACAATTTTGCTTGTTTCTTCATTACATCTCTATCCGTTGTCACGCTTCGCTGAACGCAATGTATTTTGTTTTTGTTTTTTCCTCGAGCACATGCACTATAGTACCTTGTGTACCACGTGCGGTAAATACGAGACCACACTCGTGTATAACTTCACGCGAGTGTAATCTCGTTCTTACCGCACTAGATACACAAGGACTATACGTTGCAAGTTCCAGTTTTTACGGGATCCTAAACGGTTTTATAATTTTGTTAAAACTAAGCGCAGATCATCTTCCTTTCCGCCTTCGCTTTCGTTTGAAAGTATGACGGCTAATACTGATCAGGCAAGATCCGATCTGTTTGCCCAATTCTTTCAAAAAACCTAATCCACAGTGTCTCATTCAAGTGAGCAATATTTATACGCAATACCTACATAAGTCGAACCTAATATTTCGTCCCACCTTAAACGAAAGCTCCCTACTTTTGGATCTTCAACGTGTTACACCAGTTTACTCCCCAGGTCCTGACGGGATTCCTTGGTGCGTTCTTAAACACTGTGCAAATGCATTGTGTAAACCCCTTCTCAAGCTGTTTACCCTATCCCTACAAACTTGTCAGTTTCCCCTTATTTGGAAGGAGTCATTTGTTATTCCCCTTCATAAAAAGGGAAGCAAGTCGGATGCTTGCAATTATAGAGGTATTTCTAAATTGTCAGCAATTTCAAAGCTTTTCGAACGTGCAGTAACCCCCCACTTGCAACACCTTTGTAGATCAGCCATATCTCCATCCCAACCCGGATTTATGAAGCGCAGGTCTACTACAACAAATCTATTAGAGCTCACGTCCATTGTGATAAATGGCTCTAAAAATCATTTTCTAACTGATGTCATTTACACAGACTTCAGTAAAGCATTTGACTCTGCAAATCACTTCCTTTTGATTCGCAAACATGACATGATAAGGTTTCCAGCAGATCTTTTAAGTTGGATCTCTAGTTATCTTAGTGGCCGTACACAAAGAGTGATTTTCAAAAATTCGTTAAGGGGGGGGTAAGGTTTTAAAGGCCAAAAAAAGGGTCATGTTTGATTTTTTTTTTGCGTAAAATGAGTAAGTTTATTTTATTGAGCTTAATTACATGTTATTGTTTAACTTTTGAAGAGTATTAGAAAAAAAAATTATTAAAAAATATTAAGAAATAAGCCTGTGGCGGTTAATCTTCCGAAGCGCCTAAAGAAAAAGTTGTTTTGCGGTGAACATCATAGGGCGTTAACGGATCATCTTAAAAATAAAATGTGATATGCGTTGTAAAGATAATGAATTTCCCGAGGTAATCAGGAAGAGTTTTTTTTAATTTATTTTTTGTCTATTTTTGGGAGCACTTGAAAGTGAAAAGTGCGATTTTAGCTTTAAAAATCGCTGTTAATTTATTTGTTAAAAATAGAAAAAAAATTAAAATTAAAAAAAACTCTTCCTGATTACCTGCGTATTTATATTGAGAATTTGTGTTAAAAATTTGAAAAGGATCAGCTCAGTAGATTTTGAGTTCTGATGTTCACCGACTTTCAAAATAACGTCTTCGGCAAAATCGATTCAAAGTATTTTTCTACGTGAAAATACGTCCAAATACGGTTGTTTAATACGCTGTAACTCCGTTAGTTTGACTTTAATTGACTTAAAATTTTTACACAATGTTCTCGACATATTGGTCTTTCAGAAAAAAAATAAAAAAAAATGTAAAAAAATTTTTTTAAAAACAATTCCCGCAAATACCCCATTTGGATGGGTAAATGTTTACAAGTGCGGTGCACGGTAAATACAGCTTAAAAAAATAAAGTAAAGTATGGAAGCGATGAGTTTTTTTTCTAAAACTTCGAAATCCGTTGACGGAGAGTGAAAATTATGCACCGTTTTTTGTTATTAACAATTAAAGATGCGATTTGTAGTAGAAATTCGGATCTGAGTGACCGTATTTGCATGTGATGTGCCTATTATTGCAGTCGTCTGGTGATGGATTATTGCAAATACGGTCACTTAGATCCGAATTTGTACTCCAAATCGCATCTTTAATTGTTAATAACAAAAAAACGGTGCAAAATTTTCACTCTTCGCCAACTGATTTCGAAGTTTTAGAAAAAAACACATCGTTTCCATATTTTAATTTTTTTTTTTAACCCTTTACATGCCAATAACTCAGATTTTCTTGATTTTTTTTTTTTTTTTGTAAATAAGTGAAAATAAAAAATACACTTCTTTTTATTTTTTTAAATTTTTTTGGTTTTACCTTATTTTTTTACGAAAAAGGGGAGTGATGCATTTCTGCATCAAATGGTCTTAAAAGTAACATTTTTTTAATATGGGTTATAGAAAGATAATAACATTCATTCAATATTAATATATAGTAATTTATATTTTAAATATATCAATTTAAATTAAATTTTTTAAAGCAACTATTTCTTTTATTAAAACATAAAAAAATTACACATTTTTCGCACTCCGTTTGGGAGAATCCAGCATAGTTCGGATATTTGCAGTATTTTTTTATGTGTTAAGCTACTTTGATGCATATCTGCAACAAATCGAAATTGTTGATTTATTCGTATTATAATGCAACAAACACAAAAACTCGACAATATATAACTTAATAGAATATTTACTTGCTTAAAAATATAAATTAAATCAACTACACATTTTTTTTTTTTATTTATATTTGGATGAGAAACTGCACAACCAATTCAGATTTCCACATTCACCAAATTGTCGGGAAAAGTAATCAGCTGTTGACAGCTGTTGGACAGAATTCTGACTAACTAACACTTGTTATATAAAAAACGAAAGTTTCTGAACTGCATTAAAAAGATTTCAGACAGTTTTGCAATGCCCGTTGAAAAATAATTGAATTTGAACGGTATGATGCAGATATGCATCACCACCATGTAAAGGGTTAAGCTGAATTTACCGTGCACCGCACTTGTAAACAATTACCAAATGTTAATATGTGGTCATAAATGAAACGGGTTTTGGTGAGCAAATCATATAACTTGACTAGTGTGAAAAAGTTGATTATAAAATATTGCCTAAATTTGGACCCTCCAGTGTATAGCTCTTTGTACATATATTTATATATATATGTTAAGTATAGATCATTTTCGTAAGCAAAACTGCTAAAGGTTTCCAGATTTAATAAATTGTATGTAATTTTGTTTTTAGTTTATGTGTCTGCTTCAGTGGCAGTGGTAGTAATGTCATTTAGAGTTACATCGGATATAACGCACATAATAATTAGTCAATTTATTTTTAACCTTTCGAAAAACATGTTTACTTTTGTTTACTTTTATAATAGAACAAAATAAAATTTCACTCAATTTATGCAAGCTTTGTCAAACCGGCACAAACAAATATATGTTCGGCACGGGAGCGTTGGCTCGGCATCGATTTTCCGCTCAACAAACACCGAAGCCCGTTTTTTGGAATTCCTACAATCTATAGTTTTTGGAAGACGATTTATTTGGTTAAATATGGGTGCATACTTGTCGCATCCAAAAACGGATAAAGCGTCTACAGACGAATTTAATGATTTTCTTACCGTTGGTGCCAGCTCAATGCAGGGCTGGCGGAATAGTCAAGAGGTAAACAAATATATTTCTGTATGTCTTATCAAAATTTTGATCTTCTTCATATTTTAAGGATGCACACAACTGCATTTTAAATTTTGATAAAAACACATCATTTTTTGCTGTCTATGATGGACATGGCGGAGCTGAAGTAGCTCAGTACTGTGCCGACAAGTTGCCAGAGTTCCTGAAAAACCAAGAATCCTACAAAAATGGGAATCTTGAAATGGCTCTCAAAAACGCCTTTTTAGGCTTTGATAAAACTTTGCTTGAACCATCTATAGTCGGTATACTTAAGTTATTGGCAGGTGAACATAACTTCGTCGATGCTGATGCGGAGGATTACGAAGAAGATGAAGATTTAGCTGAGTTGCAAGAAGAGAGCAATTTGCCACTAAATGAAGTTCTAGAGAAATACAAAGGGCTTCCACAGACACACGATTTGATTGTTTTAAAACCGGAGAACGAATCCAGTTTAAATAATCTTTCGCCTTATTTTCGCGGTCGCCGTGCTGCAGCACTTGCTGCCGAAGCTGCCAATAAGGCAGTAATGGATCCAACAGCTAAGCCGGAAGGTTCTTCCACTTCAGCGGCAGCAGCTGCATCTGCAGTTTCCGCAATTTTTGTAAATGACTGTCCAGGACCTAGCTACATAGAAAGGGCAATACAAAAGCCGGAAGTCGAATCGACTGTAAGCTGTAGCAACACCAATAGTATAAATAATGCTTCTTTAAAAAAGGAGCCTGTTAATGATAAAACTGAATCAAATGGGATAGTTTCTAAACCAGAAGCGGTAACGTCTTCAGAGTCCGTGGTAAAAACAATGAATGATAAATCACAAGATTCAGTTATTTCTGGGTCTAACGATATCGGCAAATTGGATAGAAATGGTGGCATTTCATCAACCAGCAAAGAATCTGAAAAAGTAAAAAAGAAAATGTTTTCCCAAGAAGATGAGTCAACAGATGATGATGACGATTACGAAGAAAACGAACTGGTCGACAGTCCGGATATTTCATCTGCCGAAAGCTCTGAAGAAGGCGCTTCCAACTATGATGACGACGATGAGAACGACAATGTAAGTTATTAAAAAGAATTAAAAACATTTTAATTTATATAATTATTAGGGAAACGAGGCTAGTGACGAAGACGACACGGATGAAGATCAGGTCGCCAATGAAAATTTTTGCGCAAACATGATTGAAGAACCTGGCAAAGATAGTGGATGTACTGCTGTTGTCTGTTTGTTGCATGGTCGAGATTTGTACGTCGCAAATGCAGGCGACTCTCGCTGTGTTGTGTCCCGAAATGGTAAAGCTATTGAAATGAGTCTTGATCACAAGCCCGAAGACGACGAGGAAGCCGCGCGCATAGTAAAGGCAGGTGGTCGTGTCACTCTTGATGGTCGTGTAAATGGCGGTTTAAATTTATCTCGAGCGCTCGGAGACCACGCCTACAAAACCAATCTTGAATTACCGCCTGAGGAACAGATGATATCTGCCTTACCAGATATAAAGAAGTTAATTATAACGCCAAACGACGAATTTATGGTATTGGCTTGTGATGGTATATGGAACTATATGTCTAGTGACGAAGTCGTTCAGTTTGTACGGTTGAAATTAAAGGATGGAAACAAGAAATTGTCAAAAATTTGTGAAGAGGTAAAGCAATATGGTACCTATAAAGCACTGGATTATAAATAACCAATTAATTTTTTAGCTCTTTGATAACTGCTTAGCTCCAAATACAATGGGTGACGGGACTGGCTGCGACAATATGACTGCTGTGATTGTCAAATTTCAGAAAAACTTACAAGAACTTCATACCACCATTAATCCATCTGAAACAGAAGATATGTTGGCAATCACGTGTAGTGCATCTAAGAATTTTTCAGAAGTCGATGGGCAGAATGTTCTCAAGCGATGTTCTTCGCCAGAAACCGCTGCCGAAGTTAATAATCTACAAAAAATGAACAAATCTAAGCGATTAAAGACTGAAGAAAAGGTTTTAGGACAAGCAGACATTGTAGGCAGCACCCAATCGTCAGCCGGGCCAAATGAATGCCCCAGCATGAAGGCGAGTAACGAAGTCACTACCGTAGTTTCTTCATCGTAATTTATTTGACATCCGGAAGCGCAGTCTTGATTTTCAACATTTGATAGTAATCTGCATTTTAATCGTAGAAATATACAGTCATAGAGACAAATACGAGGGCAACGGATCAACATTTGAGGATTTATTAACTGCAGGTTTATGCAAAAAACTATTCAGTTGTACACACACATATTTTATTTATATTTAAAGACACATTTTCAACTGCTACTTAAAAGATCAATTTGAGTGAAATAAATCATCTATAATTGATATATAGACTTAATTGCTTAATTTTAACTACGTAATTTGCATAATACTGGTGTGGCATGGTATTATATTTTCAGAAGTTTTAAAGTGTAAAGAAGATATTTCCGACCGCTAAAAGTTTATTTTTGATCCTTATCATTAAAAGTGAAAAAGGACGCAGCAAAAATTATTCATGTTTTTTTTTTTAATTTATATAGTGTTTTTACCTTCTCTTGAATTATGAATTCAATTTCATAAAAATTACACCACAATATCATCTTTATAAAATAAATGGTCATCGTTTTTTTTTTCAAGCAAACATTATTTTTTGAGAATCGAGTTTTTAAGGCCTAAATCGGAATAATAGGTTATACTTCTGCCTAAAGAACAATCACTGCGGCGAGCCGAAGTTTGTTTAGTCACAAATTTCGAGCAAATAATTAATTAATTAATAATCTACATTTTCGCCATTGGATTATATGACAGCTATCCATACTAATATATAAATGTGAAAATGTTTCTGTCTGTCTGTTACTCGATCACGCCTGAACGGCTGAACGGATTTTGATGAAATTTGATATGGTGATAGATGATAACCTAGAAATCATAATAGGCTATAAATAATCACGCCATCGTTCTTAGGTGGTGAGCAGCAGGTGGAGAAACGGAATAATCACGCAATCGTTCTTATGGGGTAAGCAGTAGGCATTACGTTTTAAGTAAAAAAGTTTGCTTTATCAAAAATTGTTTTACGTTGTAGTTTTTTAAACTCCCGTTATTGATTTCGATATGCCAGGCAAACGTAAATCCAATCTAAGCAGTATTTCTAGCAGAGCTCGAGCTGCAAATGTTGCTAGAGGCCAAGAATCTGAAGAGCAGACTCGGACGCGTCAGATGTTAGATTCTCAGCGTCATGCGACTCAAAGAGCTTCTGAGACCTATGCGCAGACTCGGGCCCGTCAGACCCTGGATGCTGAACCCCACGCATCTCAAAGAGCTGCTGAGACAGTGGAACAGACTCAGACACGTCGAGTTTTAGATGCCGGACGTCACGCGCAATTGTTTGCGGCAGAGTCTGACGAAGATTCACAAAGATGACGTCTTTTAAATGCTGAGCGGCAGTAGGGAGAATGGATAAAAAATGCAGATATTGTGAAGTACTGAAATGGAAAGAAGAAACTCCAGGTATGTGCTGTTCTGCTGGAAAGGTTAAAATTCCATTACTTGGCGAGCCAGAGGAACCTCTCAAATCTTTACTTTTATTACAGTTTCCACTGAAAATCGCATTCGCTATGACAATAAATAAAGCTCAGGGGCAAACCTTAAAAGTAGCCGGCATAAATTTAGAAAAGAGATGTTTTTCTCACGGACAATTATACGTGGCTTGCTCACTTGTTTCAAGTCCACAGAATCTCCATGTGTTGACCAGAGAGGGAAAAACAAAGAACATAGTTTACAAAAATGTACTACAGTAATAATACGTTAATACAAATAAAAAAAAAAAGAACTTCTCCTTTTGCCATTCGAGTCATAATGATTGCTTTTATAATATTGCGACCGAGGTGTGTTACTTGCAATCGTGTGCCATTACACAGTCTTGGTGAATCTAAATTCCGCATCAAAATGACAGGAACTCCTACTTTCAGCCTCAGTTTGTGTGAAGGTACTCCCGGCAGTTCTAAAGAATTAAGAAATTCTACAGGGTATGATGTCCACAGAATCTCCATGTGTTGACCAGAGAGGGAAAAACAAAGAACATAGTTTTTCAACAAATAAAAAAAAGGAACTATTAAAAAAAACCCGGGCGAAGCTGGGACGGGCAGCTAGTATGTTATAGTTTTTCGATTTTCTTGAAATTTAATTCAAAATGCAAGGTCCGTTAGAAAACTCTATATCCCAAAAATGTTAAGAGAGCCTTGAGCCCTTTTACGGGCTGTGTCATGATTGACAAATGTGGCACACTAGGCAAAGGTGATGAGGTGGCTGCCTCGTATGTGAACATAAGTGCCGTTGTCCACACTCAAGCGAGCCGGTCGATCGTTTACGATGATGATCCCCTCGTCAACGTAGGTAACGGGCTGCTGGTAACTTTGCTGGATGTCGCAATGCGCGGAGCCTGCAGCGTGGAGCTCCTGGGGCCCCGGGCCCTCCCTGGATACGTGCCTGAGCTACTGCTAATATTAAATTTTGCAGCTCCATTGCAATCATATTATTTTGAGATAATAACATCTCGTATAGCTGTTCCGTGTCAATTTGGGACTCTTTAGTCGACCTCAGAAGTTGATTGACGGTGGTGGAAATTTTGTTAATTTGATCTTGTACCTTGTTATTGATATTTACTTGCCTATTGTTTGCATTAATTAAATGAAGTTCTGTAAATTAAATTATTTCGAAATCTTCTGCGTCTGGCGTCCCCGCTACTACCTTCACCGCCGATTCTAAGAAATCTAAGCTCCTAGCTACTCTATGGTGGACGCTCAATGAGTCGAGCAGGTCTCGTAGGTGAGCGATGTCAACGGTCATGTTGGTCATGCAAACAGTCTCCTCCACTACACGCATATATTTCGAAAGATTCGCTGTGTGTATTACGAATGCGAATTCTTCCTATACTTAAATTTGACTATTTATGATGGAAATTTATTTAGTCTGTGAGTAGTCCGTGACGTGTGCCAATGTTATGGTTATGGTTATGGGGAAGAGTAGGGGTATGAGTGTAAACCTGTAAATTGGATACATTGTAATGTTTGTTCCAAATGGTGTAGCCCACCACCAAGGTATGAAAAATAAGCATAACTAGGAATAAAAGCGGTTAAAATAAATCTTTTGCCAAGTGGCTAGTAATGAAAATAATAAAACATTTAAAAAACTATCTGGCGAATGATAACAAGGTTATGCTTGGCTAAGGTTGTCTTTATAAACCACCCTCCCCCTAATGAGGACTGTGGTCTCCATGTCCGCTTTCACAGTTTTCTCCTCACTTAAAGGTGAGAGTTTGTTGCCTTGTCGCCTATTGGACTTTACAAGGACCTTGACACCAACTTCGAACACCCTGTTTGCAGGGAAGCATTTTCCCTATCTTGGGCGTCCTTATATTATCCTGTACCTCGTACTGCGGGTTACTTAATTGTGTTTGAACCATGTAGGCAGGTTTTTTTTCCGTTTTGACGGAAAGCGTGCCTCCTCTAGAGTTATCTGGTTCTGGAAGCAATTCAATGAGAATCAGTTGTGGTACCGTTGTTGGTGACTGTGAACCCCAAAAAGCTAACGCTTTTCTTGAAAAACCGCGATTTTTGCGTTGATACCCCTATGCTAACGTCGTGCAGGCTCTTAAGAACCCAGTCTACGTGCCGGATGTGGGAGTTCTCGTCTTCAGAGACGATTAAATTAAAGGAAAACTAAGCCCACAAGCAGCGAAAAAACAAATGCGTCAAAAGTGACGAAGAAAGTTGAAGCCACTGTAACACACAATGCGCTAACAAGAAATCGATTTTCTATTTTGAGTGACCCAAAAGAAATTAATACCGCTCAAAAACCTCGGGCCAAGCAACAAAGGCCACCACCAATTGTTGTACGTCTGGCAAATTGTTCTGAATTGGTCAAACTGGCTAGGAATATATTAAATAAAAACAATGTTTTGCAGCCAATGTTCAAGGAAGAGTTGGATGAATTGTCAGGAATGCAATGTATAAATTGTCAGGAATACGGACATACGAAAACTTACTGCACTCAACGTGCAGTCTGTGTTGCCTGCGGAGATGCACACTCAACTAAGGCCTGCCCAATAAACAAGGAGAACCAATCTGCGAAAAAATGTAGTAATTGTGGGGTAAACCACAATGCAAATTACAGAGGTTGTGCTGTCTATAAGGAGTTGAAGAGACGACTAGGGCAACATGTAACTGCAGCTCGAAATCCTGTAACCCGAAACATTTCTAAATTTATAGCAACGACCACGATCCCAGGAGTCTCTTTTGCACAGGCGTTAAGTAACAACGACGGGACGAAAGCCTCAGTATCTAAGCTGGCAGTTGAGCAAACCACTGCTGATATAGTGCGGCAACAAACATTGCACCAGGCTCTAGAAACTACTGGCCAACATGCGAATGCAAACACACAGTTGCCTAATGGCGTAGAAGCAATGCTGGTACTGGTATAACCAACACAATGGTAGCAGTACAGCAAACAATGCAGGAACTTATGCGCTCTAAAAATGCCCTTCTGGAGCTATTAATAAAAAAAAAACCGGTTTAAATGCGACCGGCATTTCACAGCACAAATGCGAGCTCTCACAGTTCCTAGATCAGTATGACATTGACTCATGTAACAAACCAAAACCACAACACTCCACTCCTTTTATATCGGCTTGTAATCTTAATTCTAATTCTAGCAGCAGTCGAGCTTCTGGGCATATCAACGAACTGCTATGCAATAAGAGAAGGCTTCGGAGGGAGTGGCAAGCCCACAGATCGCCTGCCTCGAAGGAGCGGCTTAAAACAGCCAACAATCTTCTATGCACAGCCCTAAAAGATGAAAATAATCGATCTCAATTATTCTATTTGCAGAATCTCTCCCCTAACAGCAGACGATATCCACTGTGAAAAGCTAAATCGGGTATATGTCCACCAATCGAATCGTCATTACACACACGAACAGGAGAGTGGGCTCGCAGCAACGAAGAGAGGGCTAATGTTGCTGTGCTTCTGTGCATCAAAACGTCTTCAAACCGCTTCCATCAACAAATAGGTTTGTGCTCCCAACAATCAGCACTCCAGAGGCTACCCTGCCTATCGCATTCGAATCAAGAGAAGTGATAAGAGTGATAGAGGCTCAGGAAAAGAAGAAAGCGCCAGGACACGATCTAATCTCCCCTAAAATGATTAGGGAATTGCCGAGCTTTGCAGTAAATCTTCTCACCACGATATTCAACAGCATGATGAAATGGGGTGCATGTCATAACGCCCAGTGTCATAGCGCCCACGGGCAATAGCAATAGCAAACAATTGTGTCATAGCGCCCGCGGGCGT